ATTAATAAGTAACTTGTAAATAAACACGAAACACTGATGTGATTGTATTATCAAGTACCTAATAAACAATTGAGAGAAAGGGAATCACAGATTATAATAATGAGGTGACGCGCAATCACTGGCATGTGCGTTCGTCATAAAATTAAACGTAACTTTATAATAAATAATGCTTTTTTATGGTTAAAAAAAAACATAATGTATACAATATAAAAAAGTAATACAATTTCCTAAAATTTTAATCCATTTAAACTGGAAATAATCTTTTATTCCTATGCAAACAGAGTTGAATATTATCGTTCTACACAGCTATTACTAAACGCAATGAACGAAAGATGTATTAGTTCGTTCGCTGTGACGTAACAAGTCTTAACATCAGGATTTCATTGAGTGTCAAATTACGAATCTTGATACCTCGATCCAAACCGCGGTATCACCTGAGATCGTGTGGATATAGGTTTATTAATTAGCGTCGACATTAAGATGCTGATCGCATCTTGAGAACGTATCAACTGATGCCGGTCTTGACATCGTGATTGAGACCTATTTATTAATACGGGCCTTAAACTCAACTTCTTATTTTTGAATATCTAATACTTTGTTCTGCGGGTGTTTTTACAAATTATTTACACTTGTGGATATGAACTTGGTGAAACTTCAAACTGGTTATTGAAAAGAGACTAAAATCAACTCCGAGTCGCTGAGCCAACGGAGCGCGTATGTGTATCACACGTAAACGTATACGTAGCCGTAAGTCGGCAAACGAAACGACTGATCACCTAATCAATCCAGAGGTGTATAAGTGTAGTATCGGTCTTTTGACACTTTGAGACTGCCAAGGCAAGGGGTCTTGGGCTCGATTCCCGGGTAGGGCAAAGTATTAATGGGTTTTGAAAAAAAATCTCAGTAGTAGCACGGAGTCTGGAAATGTGCCCTGTATATGACAACAGTCTCATCCCCTATTACGGGACTCATAACATAAATAGTGGGTGTTACTTCTCTGTGCACCTCTGCTTACCCCTTCGAGGATAAAAAGGTGTGATGTGAAATTTGAAAATTGGGGTCTTAATTTAGGGAATTGGAGATTGGGGACTGGGGATAGCGAAGTAGTTAGAGACTGTAAGATAAAATGGTATCAAAATGGATTGATTCAAAACGGGCGCGGCTTGCGAATGATGTTATTAAATCATTATTATTTAAAGCAATCCAGGCAAACCAACATACGTGATACCTAATAAATTTCCTCATTGCTACAGGAAAAATGTAATATTAATACACATAGCCACATGGGAGGCAATATTTATTGGTCTATTTCAGGTAATAGGTACTGACTTGAATAGTGGTCCCAAGATTGGCAGTCTTCCAGTGAAGCGGCATCCTGTGGGACTCCATCATTTCCATGTCCTGAAACAGAAATAGCACCATTACATGAAATTGAACAAGTTGTACCTTCATTCGAAAGGTCAAAACTAAACCTATGCCAATGGACCATGACCTACACGTAATAAGCACACTACGTAGCGATTTTCAATATTCCATAACTTCATATTTTTGTTAGCTGCTAATTGCCACCTAGTTCAACTGAACGTAAATTCAGCACTGTCAAATTAGTCTCTAGTTTAGCAAGTCCTTAAGGAACTTGTTTTGGAACATTACAAATCGCGCGACTTAATAAATAAATAAAAAAAATAATAAACATTTATAATAAACTTCTATCGTCTAATTGAGGTGCTGGGTCTCTATTAGAGGTCGGAGTCAAGTGGGCGCGGGCGGGTCAATAATACCCAGACAAGCGGCGTTTGATATAATGTTATTATGTTTCACCGGCCTTTTACGATTGCAAGGACGGTCACATTTGTTGGAATGTAATCGATACGATACGAGTATGGGTAGGGAAACATCCGATCATATCATAGGGCATCTTTTATCCTGCTATCCTATGTATAATTAGTCTGTAGGCCCTGAGTTATTTATACGCATTTAAAACACCATTTTTTCCTGCTAATAGTGGGGTCAGTGTCGACCTGATGACTAGGGGAACATTCGATACCCACATACATATGTATAACCAGATTAGACTGCGTGTAATAGATAACACTCAGTGACGGTTGGCGAAATTCAGTTTTGATGAAACGCTATCGTATCTAAAAGAGAATTTGACACCGTATCCAATCGATTCCAGAACTGCTATTGCTGACAATTGTTTGTCAATTGAATTTTTTGTTTTAATAGTTATTATTATCACAAGCATTTTACTACACTACCGAACTGACTATTACACGCTAATATTTGAAAAAGGAGATGATTTAGATACGCGCGTATACTGAACCTATACTCTGTATTAACTGTAGCAGCTAAATTAGGATCTAGCTCATTCAACTTATTCTATTAAGATGAAAGGGGTCTAGTCTAGCTCTGTATTGAACAGCTCGCAAATAGCCACGTATGCCGCACCGCGCAGGGTCGGCACTGTGACCTAGTTTCTACATGTTCTTTAATTATTTCATCAATAAATATTCCACTTTTGGATGGAAATGAAATAGTTCTTATATATGGTTACTCCCTCTCTCTCCCTTATAAATATTGTTAGCCCTATTAGTTATATTACGATGACCTAATATCTTCTCACGAGAAGAAGCACAAATTAGATCATTAGGGTCACGACCCTTAACTTGGTTTCTTTAAGGATAAAAACCTATAAAAGTAAATACGTACCCCGTTCAGAGGAATGGAGCAGAAGCCCTGAATGCGGTTACGCTGGATCACATCAGAGTTAACTTGTTCGTAAATCTGCAGGGCTGTGATGACTCCCATAAGAACGAGGAGAAACACCGTTATGCCCATGCAGAGGATAGCTCCCAAGCTATGGTGACGCTTGCGAGGTCCTGCCGGCTGCATCTCAATGATTTCCTGAGAAATAAAAACATAATCTTGTTACATGCCGAACTTATAAAACACTAGCGGCCCGTCCCGGCTTCGCACGGGGGGACTTAAGATTTTTTACATAGTTTTACGTATTATTTATATTTATTCTCAGTTTTTTTTATTTAGGAAGTATTTACCTTTTGAAAATATTTTTCCGGACTTCATTTACTTATTTCATTTATTTATGAACAATTCATCTGTAGAGCATTTTTGTATAACTTTAACTATATGCTCAGTGCACGCCACGGAAGGCCTCAGAAACGATACTTTTCCCCCATTTTTAAAACATTTTTGGTTACTGCCTATGTTACTTCTGAATAGTGCAGCTTTCTAATGGTGAAAAAATTATTGCAATCGGTCCAGTAGTTTTTGAGTTTATTAACATACAAAAATACAAATCTTTCCTCTTTATAATATTAGTATAGATTATTAAACAAATTCTTTACGTGTAAACAGTTTATTTACTTCATTTTATCATTAACATTTTTTTATTAAAATTTCGATAATTTCCAGGTTCGTGATTAATCATCGCCAGTCATGATTGTAGAGGTAATACTATACAGGTGGTACGGTAATGCAAAAATATCTGTTACTGGTGTGGTTTTTTGACTCCTGTGCCCAAAAATAACCAACAGTTATTAAAAGTCCGCTGTGAACTATCCTCACATAGAGCCGTATCATCCCTAAGGAAAACTAGACAAGAGCGTAGGGCGCCGAGAGACGCGCATATCCAACTGCACGGAGAGTGGTGATAGCGCAAAAAAAATACTGGCGCCTATGAGATACTTGCCTAGGGCGCTCTCTAAGGTTTAATCCGCCTCTGTCCATACATCAGAATTTTTAAACTATTTTACTGAATAACAATGTCGTGACCGCAGAGTAAAGTACTCTGACTCTTCCAGAGGATGTCGTACAAGAGGACTAATAGTAGGACTACTTACTCAAGCCCGCTCGCCAAACATACCTAAACTGATACTGTTGCCTGCATGTTCATAATATTGATCGTGATATTTTTAGCTACAAAACCTTACATAGTGAACCAGAAATCAATACGTGCATCGAAGTCAAACGTATCAGCCAATTAATTTCATAGAATAAGGCGGTAGGTAGGTACGCACATCTGCAGTTATATTTACTATATACAGATTAAAATTTATCATACACCGACATCTTGATTGAAAAAAAAATAATTCAAACCTAATTGTGTCGGTCAATATGGTTAAATTTTAATTAATTTAAATGAAAAGAAATTATGTACGATTTTTAAATATAATATTTATTTTAATACATACCCCATCGCAATGGCTGTCGTCTATTAACGGGATTTTTTTAATAGTAAGACTAGGCTTGGTCAACACAGTCATCTTGCAAGATTAACTAATCCAATACAAATAACTGTTTTTAAATTAATATTTTAACAACAAACAGAAACACTCCTGTTTTGACTGCAACAAATGCGGAAGTGCGTAGGAAAGAAAATCCATCAATAACTCGAGAAATTGTTACCAGCTACAAATAATAAAAAATTACTTGATTTTTTCACAATGGCAACATGTTATTCCAATTTTATGTAGTCGATTCATATAACCGATTTGATTCAAGTTATTTTATTTTCTAGTTTGACGTTTGCAACATTGAGTCTATGAAATTGTCGATGTCGAGTTCCTCTTTGGTCAGTACAACCGAAAAAAAAGAAGAAATTCGAGGAGGAAACGGACGATTAGTTTCGTGTTGTAGAATATTCTGTGTTAAAAAGAGGTTAATGAATCAGCAACGTTAATAGTGCCGTTAAAACATGTTTGATTAGTTTTCTTCATCATTATTTTATGTTGAATCTTTGTTTCATTGTGTAATTACCACGTTAGTAACGAGACTGCGAGCACAAAAATAAAATGGCGACTGATCAAGTGAAGAACCGCATGCATGTTTTCAAGAACACTGGCAAAGATGTCGACGTAAGTATAAAAATGTAGTTCATTGCCTCCAAGATCATATCAAAATCCGAAAAAGTTCGACAAAGTAATGACGTTTGATTTCGTGTGTAATTTTAGGAAATGCGCAGGCGGAGGAATGAAGTTACAGTAGAACTGAGAAAAAATAAAAGAGAAGAAACACTACAAAAACGTCGTAATGTGCCTATCAGCTACTCTACAGACGAGGATGAGATCGAGAGGACCCTTGCATCCACGGACCTCAAGGAGCTGGTAATGAATGCGGCGAACGGAGACAACCCTGATGTGCAGCTGGCCGCCGTGCAGCAGTGCAGGAAGCTTCTCTCGTCAGACAAGAACCCACCCATTGATGAGCTGATTGCTACTGGAATTCTCCCTATCCTTGTGCAGTGCCTCTCAAGGGCCGACAATCCCTCACTCCAGTTTGAAACCGCTTGGGCCTTAACGAATATCGCATCAGGCACCTCCGCTCAGACAAACAAAGTTGTACATGCTGGTGCTGTCCCTGTCTTCCTTCAGTTGCTCATGTCTCCTCATGAGAATGTTTGTGAACAAGCTGTCTGGGCCCTGGGTAACATCATTGGAGATGGTCCCGTGCTCCGAGACTTTGTTATTGAAATGGGTGTAGTTAAGCCACTGTTGAGTTTCATCAAGCCTGATATCCAAATTTCATTTCTCCGTAATGTGACCTGGGTCATCGTCAACCTATGCAGGAGTAAGGACCCACCACCACCTGTCAAAACTATCCAAGAAATTCTTCCTGCACTTAACTTCCTTATCACTCACAATGACAACAATGTAAGTACATCCATATCTTTTTTTAGTTTCTAGCTAAGACATACAGGTCATTGAACTACAAAGCCAAAAAAATACCATGCATGGTATTTTTGACCCAACTCCATTCATTGCTGCTGAGCAATAAACTGAGTTATTGGGTCAAACTTCTGTTATTGTTTGATCAATATTTTATTTCCTGAATTACTGTTTTAATGTTGTAGAAGATATAAATAAATCAACACAATCATAGTGTATGAACCAACCATTTAATTGATCTATTATAAAGTCTAATTAGTCTTTGGTGGCCACCATTAAGAGTTGTCCTAAATCAGCATTTGTAACAAAGGGAAATTTAAAGTATTTTGTTCATTTCAATGGTTTTATCTATGACCACAATAATGATAAAAACAAACTTATCTCTTTGAATAATCTGTGGCACCTGAATTGATAAAAATGGTGTGTTAATTTTGTCCTGTCTTCTTAACTTTTATAACTACCTGAATATCATACAATTATTGCTATTTTAATGTTTACCACTAAATACTATTTGCCTAAATGTATTTTAAATGATACTTATTGCATAATAAGTACCTGAAAGTACGTACAACTTGATATTTATCATCTATGATATTCACCATAATTTTCTTTTACACTAAACAATGAAACATTCTTAGTTTGTGACTACCTTCATGAAATTAGAACTGTAGGAGCCTTACAACTTGATACTAGGTATTAATACAATCTGACACAATATGAGGTCACTAACAATCTATTGTGGTTTTACAAGTAAATAACATGTCAATGTGCTTTGTTCTAGATTTTAGTAGACACAGTTTGGGCAATCAGCTATTTAACAGATGGTGGCAATGACCAGATCCAAATGGTGATTGAGTCGGGAATAGTCCCTAAGCTTATCCCGTTACTGTCACACAAAGAGGTTAAAGTTCAGACAGCAGCTTTGAGAGCAGTGGGCAATATTGTGACTGGCACGGATGAACAGACACAAGTAGTCCTCAACTGCGATGCACTGTCGCACTTCCCTGCTTTACTATCCCACCAGGTAATTACATATATTTTTATATCAGAATTTATTGCATACCTACATATTGAATCTGATTCCGTAAAATAAGTTGAAAAATTTTAATTTATTACCATCATGCAACTAATTTTCTGGTCTTAATTATATTTTCTTCAAACATGCAAGTCTTGTGTAAATAAGCAGAGTGGTTCGCGCGTCTGGTAGGCAGCCAAGATGGCAATTAATGTCTATTATTGTACTCGCGCGAAATAACCGGTAAACTGTCTGAATACAATCTGTTGACATTACATTTAAATATTTGATGTTAGAGTACATTGACTTTCTGTGTGTGAATGAACATTGTGATAATGATATCTCATAACTGATGATGATTGACCTTCAGATTGTGAATGTTATGAATTATACTAACTAGCTACTTAGGAATTTATTTTGTTTGTCCCATTAACTAATGTGTTGCCCTCATCTTATTTACACAAAGTTTCCTAACATCTTTTATTATGTAAATAATTTGTATATCATAATTTTCATATAATTATAATTCTGACTACAGAAAGAGAAGATCTGCAAAGAAGCTGTATGGTTCTTATCAAACATCACAGCAGGTAACAAGCAGCAAGTGCAAGCAGTTATAGACGCGGGCCTACTGCCCAAGATTGTAGAGAACCTCACCAAGGGAGAGTTCCAGACACAGAAAGAGGCAGCCTGGGCAGTTTCCAACCTTAGTATCAGTGGGACTAAGGATCAGGTTGCCGCCCTCATCAACTGTGGAGTCATACCGCCATTCTGTAAATTGCTCAGTTGCAAAGATACTCAAGTTATTAATGTAAGTTGCATCAAGTTCTTAGATAGATTCCAATAGTGTTTTAGACAGTTTTTGTAAACTATTTATGTTCATAACAACTACCTTGCGATTTATGTATTGTAAACACGAATTATTTTGTATTTACCAGGTTGTGCTAGATGGTTTAAGCAACATGCTGAAGATGGCGGGAGAGAACGCTGACCAAGTCGCTAATATGATCGAAGAATGTGGCGGCATCGACAAGATCGAGGCTCTGCAAAGCCACGAGAAAGTGGAGATCTACAAAATGGCCTATGATATCATTGAACAATACTTCACTGGAGAGGTATGTTAACTGTCTAGTTAAAACAATATTTATTGGCATGACTTGTAGAGTAGAGAATATGGTGTTAAATGAGTGTCATTGCAGGAGGAGGATGCGACGTTGGTCCCGACAGCGGCGGAGTCCGGCTTCCACTTCGACGCGGCGGCCGCCGGGCCGCACGAGGGCTTCCACTTCTAGTGGCGGGCGCAGCAGTCCGGCCGCGGCCCCCGCTACTCCGGCCGCGGCCCGCTCCCCGGGCGCGCCCGCCGCGCCTTGTACTCTGGCCGCGTCCCCTGGCTCGGCCTTCGCCCCGCGTTTCGTTGTACAGTAGGCGAGGTCGCGCACCTTCACACGTGACGTCGGTGCTGCGGCTTCCTTGTGATACAGCTCTATTGTGATGTATGAAGTTTTTCATCTTTGTTTTTCGATTTCGTATTGTACCGAGTTATGGACGATGGACACGAAGTGGATAGCTTTAATGTTAAGTGCCGCGTACGCGACGTATGCGTTTAGTGTAATCTGCTTACCGATTTAATTGATGCTTTTGATATAACATAGTATTTATGTTTCGATTTTAACTCAAAACACAATAATAATTACAGTTTCTGGTATCGGGACCGGGCCAGCCGCGTCCTGTATGAAATTATGTTGAAATCAGACCATTTGTATTGTATCTATATACCAATAAATTCTGTCCAATATAATAATTGTTTTATTGCAAAAAACAAGTTACAATATTAATATTAGTTTGAATAAATAGAAGGCAAGGAGTCTCGATGGATCTGCTTATACATGTAGTCATACTGTTTCTGTAAATAAATAACAATATACAATGATGAAAATGCTCCTTATTGTACACCAATACATAAAACCTAGACAGACATACTTTCCTCATCTCGCACGCATAACATTTGACGTTAGTATAACTCTCCTCTGAAGGTTCGGGCAGAGAACGCGCCGTTACTTTACTCTGTAGCGACTCCGCATCGTAGAATAAACCCACCTTTTGCTGAAAACTGAAATTCACATTAGCTTATTACATCGATCGCAACAAATGATATCCCAAAAATGTGACTATTAGTAATTTGCTAAAGAATCTAACCACTCTACTCATGGCAGACAGTGGATAGAGAGCATTGACTTCATAATCAATTACGTGCCATTGTCATTGTTTCTGAAGAATCTTAATGTAATCAACAAATTTAAATGATAAATTACTTTAAAACAACTAAGTAAGACGTACTTGGGTAGTGGTTTCCTCCAATGGTTATCGAGTCTATTAACTTTCATAATATCGTTCAATCGCTGTAGGAGGCTAAAGTTCTCACTCTGTATCTTATTCTTTCTGTCAAGTTCTCGTTGATTCTTCTTTAATTTGAGTGCCACGTGTGGTCTGGCTGCCGGAGCTCTATCATCTATAGCTGGTAACGCAGATCTTACCTACCATATGAAAATCAAATATGTAGGTAATACAAAAACAAATGCTTATGTACTTACACTGATGTTAATTGATGTAGGTATATGAAAAGTCGAACTTTAATCAGTTACTCACTTTTGAACGATGATCTTTGAATCTGCGATCCTCCCACGGTTGGATCAGTAGTTTATCTCTGCGCGATAACATTTCACGATTATGTCAATTAGCCAGAATCAAGCAAGTCGAGCTCGTGAAGTTGTTTTGATTTTTAAATGTAATGTATGATCGATAGTTTGTGTAGCTATGATACTTATTATAGATATTTGGTAACCAGTGCCAACGTATATGGGAATCGCAACGCAACGGATTACTTAATGCGATATATGTATATAAACTATATTGTAAAACATACATCAACATGTTTAGATTTAACTTTCGTGAGACATACTAAATTAATTGTTATGTTTTGGGCTTACTCACGTAACTGTTTGACGACGAACTCGATTAGTTACAACTTACAAGCCATGCTAGAGGCTCATATTCACGAACCTCTAGCCGAAAACAATAATTATTACATCAAGATATATGTTGGACTGAAACCTGTATAAATAAAAAATAATTTCCGTTCATTAGTCTCGCCAAAACTCGCGAACGGTTGAACCGATTTAGCTCATTTTGGTCTTGAAATGTTCGTGGATGTCCAGGGAAGGCTTAAAAGGCGAGAAAAATAGGTAATTTTTAGGTGATACAAAGGGGAATATCGCCGTGGGAAACCGAGGACAGGTTAGGTACTGCTTTATGACAAAAATATTAGTAAAATAAAACAACAGACTGCAAATTAATAAATAAATTATTGTTAAACATTACATACTGCACTTACATTGGCTCGTTACATCGGATAATATACATTCACAAAAACTTACAAACACAAGTTCGCAAATACAAATATAAAATAATATACTTTGAGCAATATAAAAATAAAAAAACCGAATCACTCTATAATCTATACCTAGATACTATTAAAACGTTAGATACAGTAATGTATTTAGTCAATTTTTGAGAAACTGGTAGGGCGGTACTTTAGTACCCAATACTTAAGTTTTAAGCTAATCGTCGCAAGTGTTATTATAAAAAGCTTCAGGAATGTAAAGTCGGCTTTAATTCCTTCCTAAGTTTGGCAATGTTTATTTTATAAAGCTTGTTAAAGTTAGTGCACTATATTCACATTCGCAATTCATTTCCCATTTGCCCGTCAATAGACATTTTTATTTAACATACCAATATGACACTAATTTTTGAAACAATTCAATATGACCATCTTAAATGTAGATCCCGTGCTTGTCGCTACTTTGTGCTTGCATCCAATAAATGCTGCAACGTTCTAGGAAGACTTTACAAGAGGAATATTGCCCTCACATAATTTAGACCAGTTATTACTTTTGTCCCAGTAGGTGCATATTGTGTATAGAATTTAATTTCAAGGCGCCGATAAAAATTATTATACAACTTTCAATATTTTTTCCAAAAAAACAAATGTTCTCTCAAAACTTGCGGCCGAGGTACATTTTGCTATTTTTAATAATACATCTCTACACTGAGTTTGCCTCGCATTTATTTCTAATTACATTATTGAGTATAAAACGTATTAAATACATCAAAAAGATCTAGTAACTTACAATCAGTGCGTTTTGAGATATGACTTTCGACACATCCTTCTCCGAGTGCGAGAAATTTAAGAACTGCGCATGTGATCATCTGATTAGAATGAGAAATTGAATAAAATTTTGATAATAAATAACAGGAACTTTCTAAACCACAAATTATCATTTGATACAATGTGATAAATTAAATATTCTCGCTTGTACACAAAGTGTAGACTGTAGTCATATCTCAAAATGATCACATGTAATTAAATAATAGTGCATCGTCAATGTTGGGCGACATTGTCGTCTCAAGGATGTTTTCCATTGAAATTATCCAAGGAGAATGTGAAGAGAAAAGGCCGTATTCCTTCAACTTAATTTGGCTATAATGAATTTAGAAAATGCAACTGAGACCAGCAACTTTAATTAATACTATACTAGTAATAAATTGTAATCACGAATTAAACAAAGCAGTTCCTTTTACATAAAAACGCCATTGGTTATAATATTAATCTCAGATTAGTAATTTTTATGGTATTTGTAACGCGTTACTATACTAATATAAATGCAAATAATCGTTCACACCCGCGTAGAAACCATAGACAGGAGGAAAACACCCTCAATCACGCATCATACAGTGTTACATGTAACCTAACCTTATCGCTAAGTTTCGCATACAAAATTCTACACTTGGTGCATCATCAACTGTCAAATGTGTAAAATAAAAAAGTCCATACAAAAATAAATGTTCCTGTGTAAAAGCTATTTAGTTAATACTTTCCGTATGGAGTGTCGTCGACGTTACTGGACAGTACATCACTACAGTCAGACCAGAAGCTACAACTCAGAATGTCAAGGTTCAACTTAAAATTAATCGTTGAATGTGATTCGCATTTTAATTTAAATATTGGTATCTACATTACGAAATTAATATATTATTATTATTAAACAATTATTAATTTGTATAAAACAACAATCAAGCTGCCTTTGTTATTTTTACAAGTGGATCGAATTGTAATTAACTTGTGCGCGCAACGTGTAGGGGTGAATGTCAATTAAATAATTTATAATACATAACGTACAACCCTTAATTCCACTTAATTATAACAAATTCCAAGTCACGTACCTACAATAGAATTATCGCCGAGAAATATCAGAGTACATATCTACAGTTGCTACAGTCCAATGCATTACGTGGCAGACTTGTTGGTTACATCTCGCGGCGATACTGATACACCGATCGAGCCGACAACCATGTAAGAAGGGGCTCTGTATGTCGCGCGAGGTTTTAAGTGTGTTGCGTGTAATACACATCGTATTTTGAGTCGTTTTTCTGCCATATTTTCTTCTCCATAGTTTGACAGTTCATACATTCCTACTTGCATAAAAAATTTATACTTACACTAATCAAATATTAGATACAAATATTAGATGTCTACAAGTGACTGGAGTTTAATTCACACAATGTTATAGTGACACCACCCGAACAGATCGTGCGCACCGAGTTTTATAAAAATAAATAAAACTGTAACATAAGAGTGAGAGTTGATTGTGATGTCGGCGTATAATATTGACTAGCGATTGTCACCTCAGTGGAAATCAACCCTTTGAGATTCCATGCCCACCACATCAGTTTGAACTTATCCATCGTTACACAGTTATAAAGCTAATTTTAGTTTATTACTCAGTCAAGAGAACATTTGTCATCTAGCTTAGACAATTTAATTTTTGCATTTCGTGTCGGGTATTACTTGAAAGATTAAGTTCAAACTGGTGTAGTACCAACCAAGTGTTACCTAATTCGTTGTCATAAAGACTAAAACGTAGGAATATTGTTATGATTGATATATTTGACTACGCGATTCCACTAGTCAGACTTATACAGTTGGTGCGACCGCGCGCGCGATATACTCCGGCCGCCGCGCGACCGGGCGCTGTCGCGACAGACAGGCGGGCTCGATGCTCATTTTATAAAATAAGGAATGTCGTTTTAATGCTTTTGACGTCCTCGCGAGACTTAAAACTTGGACATTAAAAGGGTTGTTTATCACGAACTTGCATTCTAGATATATCCACGATGTTGGGAAACAATAATGCGTGTTACGTTAGCAAATTGCCTGTCAGTCGCAACAGAGCCCTCAAAACGTTAAGCGCGATATAAAATTCTTACAAAATTCCCACTCACTTACAATAACTCCTCAGCCCGACACATTCCACGATTTTCCCTGATCATGACTTACATTATATCTTACTTAGCCAAACATCACAACATATGCATCAGTGTATATTTAGTTATACATCACATGCTCTGAAGCGTCCACTCAATATATCCGCGCGGAGCTCAGACACGCGACACAATCGATTATAATATGCGTAAAACACAGTTTAACTATAACTCATTATAAAATTACACTATAGAACTTACCTAAATAATATGATATAAATTGTTATTAAACACTAATAGAGATAAAGAAGCCAATTTTTGGTTTTGTTATTGTAGTAATAAGTTTAGACGTCGCTTCAACGCCGAGTTACAAGTCGTCACAGTACAATACGTTCGTCACGAACAGATTCCTCGGGGATACGTTGTACTACTGAGTGATGTGGATAGCGGAATCCGTTCGACTCGATTAATCGACTACTTTCGTGCTAAACCCTCACTAACGGTGGTCGGTTCCGATCGAGCGTGCGGAGCCTGGATACAAAATTTCGTACAAAATTGACAATGCATATACGGAAGCTCTGAACTAGTTTTAACGAGTAAATAGTGGACACGGGCGTACAAAAGGTATGACGGGGCGCTCAGCAGGGCTGCGTGGCCTTGGGCAGCGGCCGCACGAGGTAGAGCTTCTCGCCCGCCTTGTTGGTGTAGATGGGCGCGCGCTGGTAGTGCGCCACGAGCTGCTCCAGCGCCGGGAACTTGCGCTGGCCGATGCAGTACAGGCCGCCCTCCACGTGCACGCGGAAGTGCTTGTTGCGGCCCGGCGCCTTCAGCGACACCGAGTAGTCGCCCACCTGCAGGCACGCAGGCGATGTTTAACAAACCATTAGGAACGCTCTATGAAGCTCCAACTCGTAAAATAATCATCCTTACGTTGGTCTCCGAGTCTCGTATGAGGAAGTCTCCGTCGTGTCCGTGCGTGTTGAGTAGCGCGTCGCAGTGCGTGCGAGTGATGGCGCCGTAGTACCAGGCGCGCCCGGCCGCCGCGCCCGGGCCCGGACGGCCGCCGGAACCACCGGACCCGCCGGACCCGCCCTCGCTACGTACAGACAAAACTTTTATTACTAGATACAACAAAGACACACAAATCAATGATAAAAAACCTTCAATTAGATTTTGACTAATCTGGCTTACAGAAAGATTGCTAGAAATGTGTTGTAGGAAACCTCTCAAACATCTTTATGGCCCATAAAAAATATCTCAAAGAATATCAGTATATGTTACAATAAATAATATAGTTCACCTGTAGGGCGTGGTGAGGTAGTCAGCGAGTTCCTGCAGATAGTTCCGTGGCACGAGCCCGACATGTCCGCGCGAGTCCCTGGCCCTGTACCACTCGGGGTCGGAGGGCGGACGCTCGATGATCTCGAGTCTGTCTCCCTTCTCGAACGACAACTCCTGCTCGTTGTTCGACGTGAACGAGTACAGCGCCACCTGCGGGGACGGCTAAACACGTTATTCTCCACTGCCGCACTCTTCAACTGGTTCGTGCCAATCATAGCAATTTAAGATAAAAAAAAAGTATTTGCATTTTGCAAGAGACCACTACATGCAGCTTCTTATAACAAAATGATGGCATCAATTATCACAAGCTATGCTACAGAAGTATTCATTCATACTAACCACTATGTCGAGCACATTTTCCGCCATGGCGTACGTATGCACGGGGTCCTCATTGTCCCCCTCCTCGCTAGTGTAGTTCGATGGAAACCTGCAGGGAATACACAATATTACTAATTACACAGCTTAATCATCAACACACTGATGACGTCAACAAGTTAATTAATTGAATGCTAAGTAATTTGTCCGGAATTCTGAATACTTAATTAGTATTTAATAACATTGTTTTTTCCTGCTTTACATAACTTTGGAAAAAGGCAAAAATGTAGTAAATTCATCCGTTTTTGTATTGTATTTGCATAACACTAAGTTTCTTGGTGATTTGATCTTTCGATTGCTGTGTAGTTTACGCACGAGTTACGTTATCGAAAATGGATGATTCAAATGATTGACTCATTGACCTAAGAATGTATTTTGTTTTGATTGATTAATTATTCTTCGTTAAATTATAAAGAAATATCAGAGTTGTGATGCTCGAACTAGTCTGAAGCTATCAGATTAATTAAAAATCCGGATCCTCGTGAATACAGAATATGTAAGGCAAAAACAACAAGGCAACATACCATCCAGTGTGGGCCTGGTACTGTCCCCGCCACCAGCCGTCGTTGCTCTTCTCGAGTATGAGTATGCGCGTGCCCTTGGTGAGCGAGAGCTCGTCGGGCTGCTGCGCCTGGTAGTTGTACTTGACGACGGCGGTGCCGAGCGCGTCCGCCGGCTCCACGCGCCGCCCGCCGGCCTCGCCGCCGCCGCGCACCGGGGAACTGTTCGACGGCAACGTCTTCGAACCCGACCCCTTCTTCACTTTCTTCTTAATACTGTAATTCACGAGCATTATGTCAACTACAGTGACAATATCCGCAAAGTCGATGGCGGTGGTTCGAAAAGAATTACTCATAATATGCTGAATGTCGTCTTATTAACGCTGAAGGCAACATGCTGATGATGACGTTACGATTCATCTTCACCGCGACCCTCGTTTCAATTTGTAGAATATCGCCGCGATTTCTTGGACGATAGATCACATAGAGTTTTTTGATGTTTACACAGGTGGCCAGCCATATCAAGATAATTATAATACTCTAGTCTCCACTACAGTTATATAACACTGCTGGTCGCGTCTGCTCGTCTTAACGCTCCGCCGAGTTTTATAACTAGGTACTGAAAGATTTCTACTGTAGATTCTAGCACTTTTTACTTGTTTTAATAATTTATGCACGGGGAACGCCGCTAGTTAATCCACACAGAGCAGCTAAGGGTATGCTACTACAGCGCCGGCTCCACAGCTAACGCGTTTATTGTTATTTGTCCCTCATACGTATAACATTGTTCTGGTATTTTTTAATACTCTTGTTTTCTCTCATTGTCTAACAACACAATATGCAATTATACCTAATCGTACTATTATTTCATTCAAATATGAAATGTTTATTACATGCGTAACGACCGTCTTCATTGTAATGTGGTAAACAACGGCATTTTTCTGAGATTTGCTAATACTAAGCAGGGAGTCCATTAAGAGGCTGATTGCCTTACGCTTCAGAAACATCGAAGTCTAAATTATAAATGGTTAGTAAAGATGTAATGAACTCGTAACAAAGGTTCTTAAGTAAAATAATACGTATTTCGAACTATTTTCGCTCGGTATTACGCCAATACGGAACGTGCAAATAGTTGATATCCGGTAAGGTAATATTTGTGCGGATATTTCATAAATGTAAATTATCCTGTTAGCTCACGTGTAATGTGCAGAACAATAACATGAGCGTACTGATCGTACCTGACAACAGGAGGTAATTAGGAGGACATCGTAACCGCACTAGTTACGTATTCAGAGAAAAATTTATCGAAAACTATAATGGACATTACAGCAGTAAATAAACTAAGAAATTAGAGATCCATATGCCTAGGAAAAGGCTTGGTTGACCCAAGTAGAAATATCAAAACTTGACCTGTGCTCTCTGGCTGTAAAGAGAAATAAATGTACGTAAGCTCGGCTACTAGATTAATTCCCAGGAAGATATTGGTAGTCCCTTCATAAATATGCATTTGATATCTGGACTATTTGACATACAATATCAAATATATCACAAAACACACAGCTGGATGGATATTTATGCATTTCGGTAGCTGCATACTAAACTTGATAGTTGATAGCATCAATGTCACCTTTGTAACACATAGATAAACTCAAGATCACAAATGTTTGCTTTAGGCATGCATATTATAATTTGATATTTAACAGACACAAACTGTACATCAAAGATTTACCGTGTTTCTCATAAACAATCGAAATTCAGAGATGAATTCATTGCAGCGTCGGAATCTTGGGTACATTATAATTCCTTTTGGGTGGTATTTACTACTTTAACTGCAAATTCCCTTTTTTCAATCAAAATATTCGAAATTACCACCAAAAATACTGAATTGCACACTGGCTCATCAAATAAACCAATTATACCTACTATACTGTTGAATCTAACGGCTACGCTAGCTATGATAAATGTAATAAAGAGATTGCAACCCTATTGCCAAGAACCGCAACTGCTTTCAACTCCAGAAAAATTATTAAACTTGTATATCAATAAAAGTATTTTGGATCCTGTATTGATGATCTTTTTTTTTATAAGGCATACGCCGGTAAACGAGCAGACGGATCACCTGATGGTAAGCAATCGGCGTCGCCTATGGACACCTGGAACACCAGAGGCGTTACAAGTGCGTTATCGGCCTTTTGGGGTTTAGGAGTTTAAGGGTCATTGGGGATTGGGGAGATTGGAGAAGGGGAACCCAATTCGGCCTCCGGTAACCTCACTCACACAACGAAACACAACGCAAGCGTTGCTTTACGTCGGTTTTCTATGAGGCCGTGGAATCACTCCGGTCGAGCCGGCCCATTCGTGCCGAAGCATGGCTCTCCCACACTTGAATCTCCTACGTGAAACTATCATAACGATAACAGATTTTTGTTACACTACGCCATTTAAACGTTTAATTGAATTGCTAATTGATTTGAACACATAAAAGTTGCGCGTAATTGACCCATTTCAAATTGACCGTGGTCATATCATTTTGCGACCGTACGTTTCTAGTGTCATAGTGTGATTCTAAGAATGGGGTCACGTGGGTCTGTCTGTCTTTCTGTTGTATAGATTTACAAGGACATGCAAATAGATGAGTTCAGAGTCAACGCCCGCAATACCATGTTGAGGTATTTTTAAATCAAACGACTATAAGATTCGCTGCACCGCTTTTGATTCACATGACATCAACAGCCTATAAGTGGCCACTGCTGACCAAAGGCCTCTTCTCACACGGAGAAGGTTTGAGCATTAATCACTACGCTTGCTCAATGCGGGTTGGCGATTTCAAACTAATAATTAGAAACTATAAGCACAGATTTCCTCACGATGTTTTCCTTCACCGTTTGTCAGTGATGTCTAAATAATCTTAGAAAGTACATATAACTCGGAAAAAGTCAAGTTGGGACTTGTCGTTGGTAGGTTTTGAACCCGCGTCCTCTCGTCCTCCGGGCCACCACCACATACACGCATTTGATGGTCTGGTATGAAAAATAATAGAAATAATTTCAGAAGTACACTAATGCTGAACTGAAGGTAAGACACGTCCTATTGACTCATATCGCTACTTATGTATTACCAGTCAACATTACTATCTAACATTCGTGCAGACAATGTTTACATATTGCAGATATAGTTTAGGAAACGATAACGTTTACCTTTAAATCACTATCAATAATTTGGAAATATGACCGTCGTTTCTGGGTGCCTGTCTTTGCTTTGATGGTTAGGTAGTGTCATATTGTGTACCAACATGACCTGAGTATGTAGTTACTTGCAGTGTCAATAGACTTTATGGCATACATACATAAATGCGTGCCGTTTCTAAGTACCCAAGAAGTATTGTTGAAAAACTTTCTCAATGCAAATTCAACTGATAATGAGATGAATACGTTCAGACACACTCCTCAAGTTTTATAATGAAAAAGTAGTATTATACTCGAACTTATACGTTTCCTTGAGTAAGTCTGATTTTACGTTATTGATATTTATTTATTTAATGAATGTATGACACATACATACTTCCGCATTTCCAATAATACTTTTATGCAACTTGTAAGTATTATATTTTATTTTGGCTCTGATTGCTCTAATACTAAAGGTGCCTGGCAACTGACTAACTCCCAGTAGATATATAACAAACATTACAATAGAATTTGTTCAGTAGTTATCGAGTTTATTGCTGACATTCCTGCATCGCTTTGTTTTATAAGATGACGTTTGAGAACAGTAATTATTGCCAGCATTTTGAAGCCACTCCCTCACCTGTCAAAGAGTGAAGGTTTCTCCTTCTTAACGTAGTTGCTGGGCACATATCCCGACTGGCTGCGTGCGTTCTGCACCCGCCACCAATGCTTGGAGTCGTCCAGCAGCAAATACCGCTCATTCTTGCGCAGGTCCAGCTCCTGAGCGCCTTGGGCCGCATAGTCGTACTTAGCGACCACGTAGCAAACATCGTCCTGAAACGTGATTAAGGAAGTTAAGTCGTGGGTTATCTCAGTGATCGCTTTTGAATCGACTAAAACAGAATTCGATAAAACGAATAGCTGAATCGATCTCACTAATTTGCTATAGAGCCCAAAACAAATGGAAAGCAACTACATAGTTAATTGATAACAGTAACTAGCTGTTAGATCAAATTTTTGAGCAAATTTCCAAAAATAACATTATTGATTGAATAAACTTTGGCCGATTCGAGAGCTTCGGAATAGAAGGCTCGTAAGGCTTCAAGGCGAACATTTAATCAACAAGGCAGTGAGTACTTATTGCCAACGTTCTGTATCCGTTAAGCTTTAGTAAATTGTGGTAACTGTACCTGTGTTATCAATGGCAGTATATCAGTACGGGGGCGGTCGTAATATTACAATTACGAAAACCATAGTTACGATATAAAGACACTGTCAAGGTCGAACTGTTCCGTGCGGTTAACTGAACGTGGTGTGGAAAGTAAGGGAGGGATTATAACTATAGCAAATCGTTTACAAAAGATGAAATACTGTATAATGTACTCAATAACAGCGAACTGCAGCCGGCATTCAGTCAAAGACTATCAGATTACTTTTGGGGTGTATATTTGGACGACAATAACTTAATATATGTCACGTTTTTAATTCCAGATCTTGATGAGAAGAGGTGTGTTATAAGATAATACCTACATTTTGTAGAGTGAGCGAGCACAATTCCAAAATCTGTGCTTTGTTCGGCAGTCGCGTTTGTTACCACTCGATTAACGACAATATTTATTATGAAAGCTATGAGAGCTATATTTTTGGTTTTCCCGTTGATTCGTATTTAGTGCTAAAATTGCCAAGATAAACTAATCCTAAGACTAATCTAAAAGTTAGGTGCAAAAGAGGGAAAGCCCATCTGTCTGTAATGAAGCCGCTGATAAAAATGATGTGGGCGTATTTATGTTAAACAGATTAGCTCATAGTTGCTCTGGAATTTAACAAACACTGACGTCACTTTAATGTGTTGTAGTAAATAATGGGGTCTTGTGATGATGTACAAACATTTTATAGGGGTCCTACCGATCGAAAGTGTATTCTCTAAAGTCGGTCGATTGGCAATCCGAGACAACCAGAGACAGATCAGTAGCATGACCAATTGATCCTGTCTATCGGGACTATCAAGTCCTCAACCTGGTTCCAGCCACATTTCTGTCATGAACTAGCTACTTCCGCGCGGTATCACACGCTCTGCTCAGCTCCTATTGGACGTAGCCTGATGTTTTATAGCCTATAGCCATCCTCGATAAATGCGCTATCCAACACAAAAATAATTATTCAAATCAGACTTGTAGTTACGGAGATTAGTGCATTGAAACAAACAAACAAACTCTTCCGTATAGTAGTATAAGACATGGTTTGCAACCTGTAAAACAACACAGAAATACAATTTTTGACCTATTAATGGTAATTTTAATTAGAATAACCCATTAGCATTTAATGATTGACTTGGGGATCAAAGCAGGACCTATTTATTTATAGTTATGTACACCATCCATTTGAACAATTTGGATACACTTCATCATTTCATCATGCTCACAGTCTCACACCTATTCCCTAAAGGGGTAGTCAAAATTAGTCTTAATTACTTACTCACTTTTCTTTACCTACCTACCTAATTAGTTACAATATAATAATATTACAAAGACGGCACACTATTTAAACTGTCAAACACCAAGCGGTCACCGGTGACCGCAACCTATTGTTCTATAATTGTGTCTATAATGACGGTACTCAACAAGTTAAATTCAATATTATTAAATATAATCTTTTTACATAAGTACATAAATTCTTTTAACAACAAAATCATTATTCTTGAATAACCACCAGTGGCAATAGCGTGTCTAAGGGACTACACACACAATTGTTTATTTCAAGGAATTCCATAGACCAGTGTGGTATGTAAAGTATAATAATATAACAATAGATCATACAACATAAATAAATAAATAACTAGTGTCACTAACCACAATCCAGGATAAATTGTGTTAAGTAGAGCAAGCTGCACAAAACAACCTAAGATGACTTATTGTTGAGTGAAACTACACAATGATTTACATATAGGCATAATTAAATGTCTGTCTGTGTTGTACTTAAACACATTTATTGTAATTAAGCTCTGCAGAGTTCAATGAACTTTGCCATATTTAGAAGTATTTGTGATTACCGTCTAATCTAATAGTTTTTGGGGTCAACAGTCTAACTTGTTATTAGATTAAATTATTGATATGATTACTATTTGATCTGAATATCAACTCATTAATTACTAGCCATATTTAAATAAGAATTTGAAAGTTTGGAAAGAAAGTGAATGGTGTTATTTTATATTTAGATAATGTTACATAATTTGATGAAAGTAACATTTATTAAACAGCATAAATTACCACACAATAAAAAAGATCCTGCACATGTTTGATTCATTGAAAATATTTATATTTCTAGCAGGATAACTGTGTAAGGAAATTAAAAACAATATCATTCATTGTGAATGATCATATGTTTCATTGTCACAATAACAATGTACCTGCTTATAACAACAAGGGTGGGTAGAGGAGTGTAATACTCTATACTCAATTCTAGTACCATATACCAACAGATTAAGATGACAATATTATGATTTGTGTTTATTTATTAAGGAAATATAAATAGTTTATTTAACAAATAGCAAAATTATGAGTTACTCACTTAACTCGTCGAGTACCGGTTTTGTAGACACAATTATAGAACAATAGGTTGCGGTCACCGGTGACCGCTTGGTGTTTGACAGTTTAAATATACTGAGAAAAGCTCTAGAAAAGAAAAGCGCGAGTCACAGAGACTGCGCAACATCGCCGCGACTGCCCACAAGGAAGAGTCCCTCTGTGACTCGAAACTATTTGAGCTTTTATTAGCTTAGTATTTTTCAGTGAGTAACTCGTATTTTTTTGTTAATTCAGCAAGTCTCACTATAGTTATTACAAAAACATAACATCTAGCATGTAAAATACAATAATTATTGGAATTTTATTGTATTGTGGACTGTTGAAGAAGTGAAGGGGATATGTAAGAATCATAGGAATTGGTGTTCCATAGTCTCTGTTCTGTAGGAGTCAGACATGAGGTTATGTATGTATGTATTGTGGCAGTATTTGATGATTGGGTATATCACAATAGTTGAATAGTAAACTAGACTGGCCTCTGACTAATAGTAATTAGGCATGGCTTAATAGAACTAATGAATATCTATTTAGAGGATTACTTATTAACTCACAATAAACTAAATGTTACATTGTTATCTCCTTTCGGATTTAAATATGTAATAGGAATCAAATTCCTAAGTTGTTCATATAATTCTAGGAAAGATCAATTGACAAATGGATGGGAGCAGAGACAAGACAGATACATGTCATCAGTCACCTGAACTTTAGAGTTTAATGAACTTAATTCCTATAGGAGAACACACCACTAAGGTCTGGAAGTTAGTGGTTTCTCTATTTACTTGCATGCTTGTAAAGTTTCACAGAACTTAGAAATATACATTGGGATGATGACAGGGTATGAAACTTAAAAATATAATTAGGTAGCTAGTCCGTAAGTTAGGTAATGAAAACATATTAAACTCTTTTTTTTATTTTGTCGTATAATAAAACAATATTTAGATAAAACAAATCAAAGTTTAGGAGTGTGCGTTAAAACATCATTTCTATGTATAAAATGTACATAGAAGTGACGTCACACAACATTTTAAATCTATATATATCGTCGAAAGTATTCCTTTCTGTAAGAAAATAAAGAATATGTGTCTAATGATTTAAAATAATCTACCAGACGGAATTAATAATTAAAATTAGGCTTCTACCCTATTACCTACATTAGTATTTCCACAGCTATGAGTTGGTTGCTTTGTGAAGGACTTACTTTTCAGTTGTAGAGTTATGTGGAATACATTTAGGGCCTAAAATTCTGCAGTGGTTCTATCAACTTGCTTAGGAAACTAAGACAAAATAACAATAAGTATCTTGTTTACTTTATAGCAAACAATAAGCAACATAATCTTTATTATCATTTTGTTTACTGAGATAGCATTTTTACAATATAATTATTCTCCAAAGCATGTTACAATTCATTCCTAATAACAACATGCATGAAACATATTCTACACATTATCTAAACATTAAAAAATAGTGAAAGTGCTAGGAACATGAATAATAATGTATTATTCATAGCAGACACTATGAGCAAAAAATTTTTAAATTATCTACTTGAGCTCATCAAATTCCACAACAATTAATATGTAACAACTGTTGCCTAATTGCTGGCACTCAGGGCCAATCAGATTTGCATTCTACTTAAACAGATAGTTGTATGGTGAAGTTAATGCACTTTATGTGAACCTAGATGAAGGAATAGCAGCTCTATTAGTGCATTACAATGAAAATAGTTATCTGACTATACTTTTTCAATAGAGCACGAAACAGGAAGTGCCAAATTAGGACCGTTGTGCAGCTGATGGTTACGTTCGGCAGTGGGTGTTAAGTGAAGGTATACCTGTGCGTTTTTCCCGTGCCTCGTGTTGGCCATGGCGTGCGGCGCCGGCAGCGGCTTGTTCGCCCACACCGAGTCTGCGGCGCGCGCCGACCGCGTCTCCAGCATGACACCCCCAGCTACAGATCCGGTCGGTCACCGCAGCCGCCTTCACTGATACATTGCGTCCATCACCGAGATCACTGCACTGCACCACATTCACTGCACTTCCGCAAAATGATACCTAACCGATCGATTCACGATGTAGTACCACCACAAAACCTAATGATTGTTTATTGTAGGACGTGCGAAAAGTCCGAAAGCCAATGAGACACCAAAGGAGCTTCGCACTGTTCCAATGCTTAGGTCTTCCAAATATTCATTATTCAATCTGAATAATCTATAAAGTAGTACTCTATATAAATTATTATACTTTTGGTAGGATTTTCACTCAGTTTGTCATAAATTAACGATTAATTTAGTGAAAAGTCTCACTTGTCGGTGGGGCAAACGACGAATCAATAGACAAACTTATTTTTTTAGAAAACCAGTCAAAATGCATAGATTATGTAGAGATGAAACCAAATCCTTTATTTCATCTAAATAGTCGAGTAATTTCCATATTTCCGTCAGGTGTAAATTCATAGTCAACTTTATCGTCTATGGTATCATAACAACAACTATTGGCAACACCAAGCTAATCGCCAGTGACCAAACAGAGCCAGAGAGTAATATAATAATTTTTATTCAGTCAGTGACGTTTTGCTACGTAGTACGTACGTACCTATGGTGTTTTCGTTGAAATAATTTCGGATGGCTAAAAATCATTTATTTTAGTCCCCCTAAGAAGTGATAATGTCTGATTCGGAAGGCAGTAATTACTCAGGAAGTGGTTCAGAGGCAGGAAGTGTAGCATCACGTCGATCGCGACGAAGTGCCGCGTCGAATCGTTCAGTCCGATCCCGCTCAGGCTCCCGATCGAGATCCGGCAGCCGCAGCATATCAAGGACTCCTTCCAGATCTCGCTCCAGATCTAAGTCACATTCACGATCTCGCTCTAGGTAAACTGCATTTGTTAGTCGTACTAAACCATACTTGTTGTGTTTGCCAACTGATAAGGCCAGTTTGACAACAGTTGTGCTAGCTAAAAGCTTTGAAAAATCACCACATGCTTATTTTACAAGTACTTTTTCTAAAAATTAAATATTTAAATTGCATTCCAATTCCTGTGGGAGTGATGGGTTTTCAGGTTACAGAAAATAACCTGAAATATGTTTACTTGTAACCCAAATTTGTTTTTGAAATCATGGATCTTTTCATTTTGTAATATAATTCCTAATTGGACAAAATATTGCAAATTCAACTAGCATATTCAGAGAAGATTACCATGCATCCTGGCTCTGATTGTGGCATGTGTTTTTTTTCCACCTCAATAATTATAACTGTTAACTATTGGTTTTTGGGTCAATCATTGAAATAATAGTTTCAAAGTTAAGGTGTGATAGACTTGTTTACCCTATAAGTAACAATACTTATTCCAGGAGCCATTCTGCAGGGTCAGATGCCAGTCGCAACAGAGATGACGAGGCTAAAGAAGCATCTGGTGATGAAGAAGTTGAGGTATGGTTTGGCACATGGCCCTTTTGGCATTAAGGAGTCTTTAATAATATTTTTTTGTTAAAAACCATTAAGAAGTTGTTTACTTTCAAAATATGTTAAATTTGTATTTAAGGTTATAAAAAAATCACAAGTAAGTATTGAGTACCGTCATTATAGACACAATTAAAGAACAATAGGTGTGCCGGCGTCCTCACGGTGTTTGACAGTTTAATGTTTTATTTCACTTTATTACAGGATGAACAAGAGCCAGAGGGTGAAGACTTAGTAGACTCTGAGGAATATGAAGAAGATGAGGAAGAAGAAAGGTTGAGAAAGAAACGCAAAAAGGACAGCCGATATGGAGGATTCATTATTGACGAGGCTGAAGTAACATTTTCAGAATAAAAGCTACTTTTTCAGTTGCAATTTCCACTTACTTGTAAACACTTACATTAATTTTTACTAAACTTCTTTCAGGTGGATGATGAGGTTGATGAAGATGATGAATGGGAAGAAGGGGCCCAGGAAATGGGCATTGTTGGAAATGAAGTGGATGAAATTGGTCCCACAGCCCGAGAAATCGAGGGTAGACGCCGAGGCACCAATTTATGGGATTCACAGAAAGAAGAAGAGATTGAAGAATATCTCAGAAACAAATATGCTGATGAATCAGCAGCACATAGACATTTTGGAGAAGGTGGAGAGGAAATGTCTGATGAAATCACCCAACAAACTCTCTTACCAGGGATAAAAGACCCCAACTTATGGATGGTCAAGTGCAGAATAGGAGAAGAGAAGGCTACTGTTCTACTTCTCATGAGAAAATTCATTGCTTATCAGTTTTCCGAAGAACCATTCCAGATCAAATCTGTTGTGGCTCCAGAAGGTGTGAAAGGATACATCTACATTGAAGCTTACAAACAAACACATGTTAAGAACATTATAAATAATGTTGGTACATTGAGAATGGGTATCTGGAAGCAAGACATGGTACCTATTAAAGAAATGACTGATGTATTAAGAGTAGTTAAGGAACAATCTGGTCTAAAGCCAAAGCAATGGGTGAGGCTCAAAAGAGGTCTGTACAAGGATGATATTGCACAAGTGGACTATGTAGACCTAGCTCAAAATCAAGTGCATCTAAAATTATTACCTAGAATAGATTATACAAGGCTGCGAGGGGCTCTGAGAACTGTCCAAAGTGAAAGTGAGGCAGCTAAGAGGAAAAAGAAAAGACGCCCAGCAGCGAAACCTTTTGACCCTGAAGCTATCCGAGCTATCGGAGGAGAAGTCACATCTGATGGTGACTTCTTGATATTTGAAGGAAACAGATATTCTAGAAAAGGATTTTTATACAAAAATTTCACAATGTCTGCCATTTTGGCTGAGGGTGTAAAGCCTACCTTGACTGAATTAGAAAGATTTGAAGAACAGCCAGAGGGCATTGACATAGAATTAGCAGCACCAGCCAAAGATGACCCAACTAGCTTACATTCATTTTCTATGGGTGACAATGTAGAAGTATGCTCTGGTGACTTGGCCAATTTACAGGCTAGAATTATAGCCATAGATGGGTCCATGATAACAGTGATGCCAAAGCATGATGCACTGAAGGATCCTCTGGTGTTCAAACCAAATGAGTTGCGGAAGTATTTCAAGCAAGGTGACCATGTCAAGGTGTTAGCAGGACGGTATGAGGGTGACACTGGTTTGATCGTGCGCGTGGAGCCACATAGAGTGGTTCTTGTGTCAGATCTGACTATGCATGAACTCGAAGTGTTGCCACGAGATTTACAATTATGCTCCGATATGGCTACTGGTGTGGATTCTCTTGGGCAATTCCAGTGGGGTGATATGGTCCAACTGGATCCGCAAACAGTCGGCGTGATAGTTCGTCTTGAAAAGGAAAACTTCCATGTCCTCGGAATGCAGGGTAAAGTAATTGAATGCAAGCCACAAGCCTTGCAGAAACGACGCGAGAGCAGGTTCACTATGGCTTTAGATTCTGAACAGAATACTATTCAGAAACGCGACATCGTAAAAGTTATCGATGGACCTCACGCTGGGCGTAATGGTGAAATCAAACATCTGTACAGGAATTTCGCGTTCTTGCAGTCTCGCATGTACCTTGATAATGGTGGTATATTCGTATGTAAGACGCGACACTTACAATTAGCGGGTGGTAACAAGAATTCTAATGTGTCTACGGGTCTTTCTTTGGGATTCATGTCGCCAAGAATTCAGTCGCCGATGCATCCTTCCGGCCGCGGCGGTATGACACCGCGCGGTCGGGGCCGCGGGGGTCGCGGGGGTGGCGTCACACGCGACAGAGAGCTCATTGGACAAACTATCAAGATCACAGGCGGACCTTACAAGGGGAATGTCGGTATCGTCAAGGACGCTACGGGCAGTACGGCACGCGTGGAGCTCCACTCGGCGTGTCAGACTATATCTGTGGACCGCTCACACATTGCGGGGGCCGGCGCCGGCGCAGCGCGCGGCGGGGCCTCGTTCTACACTCGGACTCCCGCCCGCACCCCGACCCTGGGCGCGCAGACCCCCACGTACCGCGACACCGGCATCAAGACCCCCATGCACGGGTCCGCCACACCCATATACGACGTGGGCGGCCGCACCCCGCACTACGGCTCGGCCACTCCGTCGCACGAGGGCGGCCGCACCCCGGCGCACGGCGCCTGGGACCCCACGGCCGCCAACACGCCAGCCCGCGCGCCAGACTTCGAGTACGGCGCGCTGGACGACGGGGACGCGGCGTACGCGGCTGGACCCTTCACTCCACAGACCCCGGGTACTATGTACGGGTCCGACCACACGTACTCCCCGTACCGACCGAGTCCGTCCCCCGCGGGGTACACTGCCGGGTACCCTGCGACCCCGTCTCCGGGCGGATACTCGCCTCGCTCACCATATGCAGCTGCTGATACTGCAGCACCCGACTGGCATACCACGGAAGTTGAGGTATGTATAAATACTTGTATTTATAACTTGTGTTGCAATTGGAGATGAGAGTATAAACACGTCGTCGTCCCCAGGTGCGGGTCCGCGCGGCGGCGGAGGAGGCGGCGCTGGCGGGCCAGTCGGGCGTGGTGCGCGGGCTGTCGGCCGGCATGTGCGCGCTGTACTTGCCGCAGGAGGACCGCGTCGTCAACGTGCTGGCCGACCTACTCGAGCCCGTCGTGCCGCAGTCCGGGGACAGAGTCAAGGTCAGTCCACTTATTACAAAAAGTGATAGAAAATTTCAAGATCCATATACACTTATATTTTTAAATTCCGGAACTCTATTTTTCAGTGTAATAAAATCTCTTGATTTTATTTTCCACAGGTGATTGCGGGCGAGGACCGCGAGGCTGTGGGTCAACTGATCTCTATAGAGAATCAAGAAGGAGTAGTGAAGTTCGGTACAGATGACATCAAGATCATGCAGCTGCGTCATCTCTGCAAGATGAGCACTGCCTAGACATACGTTTGACAACTTAGCTAAATTAGATTAACTTTAGGATATACAAACTCTTTAATTTCGCTGTAATTGTAACTTGCTAGATGTTTACTTCCCTTTTCTGTTTGATACAATATTCAAATATTATATAGACACAAAACTATTCAATGAATTAAATTAATAAAGCTTATAACAATACTCCTAAACTCCCAGACTTTATTTTCCGAAGTTTTTAAATATTTGCAGAGAACCTTCATGTACACGTTATACATCTAAACCTATTTAAAACTTTATGTTAAAAAGTTATTATGTTATTTACAGAAGTATCAATAAACTATACAATTGCAATAGATTCACTTGTTTTTATTTTACTTTTGTTTCGTAACTTCTAGTAGGCTTCAAAATGTTTGTTTTCAATTTGGCCGTGGGCCCATCAGTGAGTTTGATGTAATTTTGAATAACATTTTTATGAGAACACCAAAACAAGAATAACAAGGGTAGTAGGAGTAACCCCAAGGTTACTCCTACTACCCTTGTAGTAGGGGAGCCCATTAAGAGATT